AATTTGTGTATTATTTACAGACCTACTAAATGAGAACAACTGCAACACAGAGGGTGTGGTTTGGCTTTTACACGTTTTAAAGAAAAAAATCATACACCTAATGCACAAAAAGTGATCAAAGGAACTACCCAGAAATTGCTTAACATACGGAGAAACATGATCACGCATCTTCAACACAAACACAAAACGCATGACTCGATTAAACAAGAGCCTAAGTTTGCGTAGGACGTAGCCACAACTACCACTAACAATTTCAATACAATACAAAAAGTGTGGTATTATCAGCGCATGTACCACCTGAATTCTTATATCCCTAGGGAGAGCAACATCCAAACAATATAACTTTCTTAAAATAAAGTTAACCTTGGACACTAAAGAATTGACATGAACATCAAACACCAAACCATTATCAAGCAATAAACTAAGACACTTAATTGAGCTTACAACATCTATAGAGACACTATAGATGGAAACATTTATAGTATTAACTTAGTTCTTGCCAAAAATCATAGTTTTAGTTTTTTGTATTTGTATATCATGACCCCGAGAATGGGGGGGAGGGTCCCCCCAGTAGGGTGTATAAAAAATAACACTGTGATACAAAACAAAACTAAAACTTTTTTCAGGAGTTCTAATGTACCAATACTGTTTAGTTTGAGTCCCTGGACCACGAATATACCTTTGGTTTTTCTGGGTCACTTCGAAAATTTGTTTTATAACGGTAAATGTAGGAAAAAACGTGGTTCCATAGATTTTCACTTTGAAACGCGTATAACTTCTTTTCTTACTAACGGATTTATATTATTCTTTTTTTCATTCGAAGAGTAGAATTTTATCTTTCAAACAAGTTATATATTTGGTAAATCGGTTGAGGATTGGCTGAGTTACAGCGGTTGAAATGTGAAAAATACGCATAAAATGGCAAAATTTATTTTTCTTCGGACTGTACGATAAATTTATGATATCAAGCCACATAAGTTTTATTATATTATGGGGAAGAAAATTAAATTAGCTTTCGAAATTGATAAAAATCAAAAAAATCGGTTAAAAAATGGATGACTTATACACATTTTTGTATTGATTCTATGCATATTCTCTAAAGGAAATATGGGTCTGTATCGTTTCCTTTTACAAACCGTTATGTTTGTAACAGGCAAAAGGAAATGAGATAGACCCATATTTCCTTTAGAGAATATGCATAGAATCAATACAAAAATGTGTATAAGTCATCCATTTTTTAACCGATTTTTTTGATTTTTATAATTTTCGAAAGCTAATTTAATTTTCTTCCCCGCAATATAATAAAACTTATATGGTTTGATATCATAATTTCATCGTACAGTCCGAAGAAAAATAAATTTTGTCATTTTATGCGTATTTTTTCACATTTCAACCGCTGTAACTCAGTCAATCCTCAACCGATTTACCAACTATATATCTTGTTTGAAAGGAAAAATTGTACTCTTCGAAAGAAAAAAAGAATAATATAAATCCGTTATAAAGTAAATAAGTTATTCAAGTTTCAAATGGAAAGTCCATGAAACCACGATTTTCTCTATATTTACCGTTATAAAATAATTTTCGAAGTGACCCAGAAAAACCAAAGGTATTTTCGTGATCCAGGGACTCCAACTAAACAGAATTGGTACATTAGAACCCCTGAAAAATTTTCGTGTCGCACAGTGTAATTAAGTAAAATAAATAAGCAAAATAATTAAATAAATCAGCTATGCAACAACAATATCAGGGCAAGTAATACGAAAGAAAATACATCAAAATCCATTCAAATTAGCATATTCAATCAAAGCTTTCTTATAAGATTTAATGGAACCACTAAATGTCTTGAGACCCTGTAGCAAACCATTGAATACTCGAGCAATTCTTACATGAAAGGATTTCTCCAACAGGGGAGTCAAACGGGGAACATGAATTTGTGTATTATTTACAGACCTACTAAATGAGAACAACTGCAACACAGAGGGTGTGGTTTGGCTTTTACACGTTTTAAAGAAAAAAATCATACACCTAATGCACAAAAAGTGATCAAAGGAACTACCCAGAAATTGCTTAACATACGGAGAAACATGATCACGCATCTTCAACACAAACACAAAACGCATGACTCGATTAAACAAGAGCCTAAGTTTGCGTAGGACGTAGCCACAACTACCACTAACAATTTCAATACAATACAAAAAGTGTGGTATTATCAGCGCATGTACCACCTGAATTCTTATATCCCTAGGGAGAGCAACATCCAAACAATATAACTTTCTTAAAATAAAGTTAACCTTGGACACTAAAGAATTGACATGAACATCAAACACCAAACCATTATCAAGCAATAAACTAAGACACTTAATTGAGCTTACAACATCTATAGAGACACTATAGATGGAAACATTTATAGTATTAACTTAGTTCTTGCCAAAAATCATAGTTTTAGTTTTTTGAGTATTTATTGAAAGCCCATTATTCGATAACCACGTGATTAGCACATTAACATTAAAATCAATTGAAGACTGCAAAACATCAATGAACACATTTTCTCCTTTAAACAATATTTGTATATCATCAGCAAAAGCAAACGACATACAATTCCTACTATTAATACAACCGAACAAATCATTAACATACATTACGAACAACAGGTGGCCCAGAACAGATTCTTGAGGCACACCACTACTCACACTACTACTACACCCACTACTTTGGGTATATTCAACACATGCGTCCTTACATACGCCGCATTGGATGAACTAAAATATGTTATCCCTATCTAAATGTGAACCAACATGTCATTCTGCCACATATACCAAATTTTTTATTTGGGCCGATATAGAGTCGTTTGTTTACAATGGGGCAAAATTATGTAAATCGACTTAAAGCAAATCGCAATCGAACACCTGTTGATTATTTGGAGCCCAATTAACATGAAGTCGGACGAAAATGTCTGTATGTCTGCTCAATTCTGAACGTTGTAAATTTGACACACGTTATGTTATAGTAACTTCTGTACGTTGTGCAAAAAGTTTGCGACAATAAGCCTAACTTTGGGTCTTTGGTGCACCAAACATTTACAAAAAATATGAACCGATTTTTCCCAATTTCAATATGGTTCCTCCATGAGCCAAATAATTAAGCTGCGCCAAATTTCATCCAATTGGGATCATATATGCGACCTGTACTTTCTTTTCCCCCTTAAAGAAAGTAGTAGAATAAGAACAGTCCGGGGCGATATGCAAATTGTCCGTGGATCAAAAAATCCATAAATCAGAAAACGAGATCGAGGTTGCAGTTTTTGCGGAAAATACAACTAAGTCATCTGTACACACTGTAAAACATCTTTTAAGGGCGGTTGGACTCTTGGACGAATTTCTGCGTTTAGAATTTTCAAAAAAGTACAGCTGTTGGGCACCCAAAAAATGGAAATTAGTATGATTTTCTGATGAGACAGATGCGAAAAACATGTACGACGCCCTAAGTTAGTTTGCTTACTTTAGAAGTCGTTCGCTTACTTTTAATAATAGTTTTCCATGAGAGAGTAATCGAACACATTTACTGTATATTTTAGTGTCGGTTAGGTTGCGGCGAAGAGACATTTTCATTCATTGATATCCCGTTTTTTTTATTGGATTCAGTATTATAATTTTTTTATTCCTTTGTCATTAAGAAAAGAATAAAAGAGGGCAATGAATACGGAATTGCGTGTATAACATATACATGTTTCGGCGTCTTATGTTTGAGAAGCTTAAACCATAGTCTATTTGCTGCAGTAAAGAATAAGGAATGTGATAATATATACCACCATAATGTGTGTACATTAAATTTGTCATCATTTATATAATATAATATATTATCTTTAATAAGATACATATACTGAATTGTAAATAAAAACCTCAAAATAATTAGTTATATGGAATAAACCTTATTTTACAGCCTGTTTTTGTAAAATTCTAAACGAACAAATTCGAGTGACTTACGAAAAACCTTTATTTATGTTTATAAATGTTTTCTGATTCAAAACAAAAATAAATGACATATTTTTCAAAACCAAGGAGTTTGGTCGTAAGTCACTCGAATTCGTTCGTTTGGAATTTTACAAAAACATGCTGTTAAGAGCCCCATACACTATACATCATGCCGTACAGCATTTATTATAGTATGTGTTATTTTTTTGAAAGTGTATTTATGTATGTGTGACACAAATAATGCATGAAGAAAATCAAAATAGTTTTGATTTTGAAAATGAACCCCTATCAATCTGGTGAATAATATTCATTTTGATAGTTGTCAGTAAATAATTTTGTGTACAAAAATAATAAAATTGTGACGGAATAAAAAAAAATAACTGCATTTACGACTCAAAATGTCATTTTTGGGATAAAAATCTATTTTTTGGAATAGTGATTGAAGAGTTTGCCATACACTAGTCAATCTCACATATACAAAAAGGGGTTCATCGGCATGACGGCATGATTTATAGTGTATGGGGCCCTTTAGTCATTAATACGCAAAAGTTCATTCATAATCATTAAAGGGCCCCATACACTATAAATCATACCGTGATGCCGATGAACCCCTTTTTTTATATGTGAGACTGACTAGTGTATGGCAACCTCTTCAATCACTATTCCAAAAAATCGATTTTTGTCCCAAAATTTTTGTCGTAAATTCAGTTGTTTTTTTATTCCGACACAATTCTATTATTTTTGTAGACAAAATTATTTACTGACAACTTTCAAAATGAATATTATTCACCAGATTGATAGGGTTTCATTTTCAAAATCAAAACTATTTTGATTTTCTTCATGCATTGTGTGTGTCACACATACATAAATAAACTTTCAAAAAATAACACATACTATGATAAATGCTGTACGGCATGATGTATAGTGTATGGGGCCCTTAATATATTGTTTTATATAAATGTGTCGGACTAGTCGAATTAAAGCGAATCACTTATTGCTAAACTCAAATCCCTTGTATAATTATGCCAGGTTATTCGCCATCCTTTATATCCAGAGGCCGTAGGTGATGTATATGGTCCAGCTGAGCGTTATAATCGTGGACCTCCAGCATCCCATTACGATGATATAGATCCTTACGGCCGCTCAGCTCGATATAGAGAACTTCCGCCGCATCGTATGCCGCAATATGAAGATGATAGACGTGTACGTCCCACAAGAGAAGTGATTGTACAACGAGTGGAACCAGTAGGGCGCGGGGATGAGTGGAATGATCCATGGATGAGGTCAAAATCTCCAGGTGGCAGAGGTTCCTCGCGAGATAGGGGTGATAAAAGACGAAGGGATCGCCGAAGTTACAGTAGTAATTCATCGTACTCAAGCTCCAGTAGTTCGCAAAGCGATTCCAGTTCCGACTCCAGTCGTTCTCTTAGCTCCCGTGATCACCATCGACGTCGATATGCAAGCAACTCCCATAAATCTCCTACATCGCGCAGAACCGGTGGAAGGTCTTTGAGGTCTCCATCTTTGTCAACAAGAAGATCTAGGCGTACCCCAAGTAAGTTAACTTTAAACAAAATTGTATTTGCTAAATATTTTATATTTAAATTGCATGCAGCTATCGATGAGCTCAAAAGTGATCTCACGGAGTTAAAATCTAATCTAATTATCGAGAAAGAACAAAACTTCATTAAAGGTACATCTATTAACTATAATATATGCTCTTTCTCTCGGTCATGCAGGTGCAGCGTCCAGTCTAATACAAATAACTGAACATATCAATGCTATAATATAATGTTTTCATTCATTTAAATAATTTAATTGCTTTTTTTTTGTCTGGCAGGTTTACATCATTCGCCATCTTCGAAACGACGAACAAACTCTTCTCTATCGCCAGTATATAATAGAGGTAATGCATATAGCCCGGTTCATAAGAAAAAACGTGCTTCTCCACTTCCTAAGAAAACACATACTGGCCGAACTAAACTTAGACGTCGACACTCATCATCTTCTTCGGACTCTGGTATGTATTTTAAGTGAAACATGTTTTATGGCAGCTATAATATTTTTTGTTAAAAGTTTCATCGGACTCTACTGCTTCTGAATCGGAATCGGACTCAGGTTCATCCTCTTCTGGAAGCTCTTCCCGCTCAAGGGACAACTCACCACCAAAACGATTGCGTACCACGGACAAAACAAGCGTTAGCGAACGGAAAGTGACTAAAAATGGTAAGATTAAATAATTATTGATCTGCTGTAAGCGAGTTTTAAAAGAAAAACTATTATGTCAACTAACATTTTAACATCTTCTTAATTTACGCCTTACTAGTGGAAGTACCGAAAAAAAGATCACCTATAACTATAGAATTGAAGAAACCAGCAGCAGTGGGCGTTTCGGCGCTTGCTTCTCCGACACACTCGACTACATCAGAGAGAGATTCGAAAAAATCGAGACGTGAAGAACTTTTGAAGCAGTTACGAGCCGTCGAGGACGCAATCGCCAAAAAGAGATCAAAACTTGCATAACGAAAAGACAAGCTGTAATGTAACTATTCCAGTACCAAGAAATATTTTTCATTGATTTTTCTTTACTTTTTCAAATTAAGCCACACTGACAAAACAATAAATAAAGTTACAATAAGAATAATTGATTTTACAAAAATAATTTTAATTACTCTTTTCAGCACATTTGAAATTGTTTAAATACTTTCTCAGATGACAAAGTTAATCTATATATTCTTAATATTTTTCAGGGTGGAAGGAAGTGACAAGCCTGAAATGCAACTAATAATAATATTGTTAATTTGTCCGTCTGCTTACAACCAATGTCCAAATTATCACTATACTTTAGAAAATTAGTATATAATTAAACTTGTCCATATATATATATTTTTTTTTCAACATAATCGACTGTAGAGTAAGTGTTTATTACTATTATTGTTATAATTATTAGTATTACCCTGCTATTACACGTAAAAACACTAAACACCTCATCGCAGCAATATTATTGTTTTTTTGTCAACATAAATTATCTCTTAATCCTGACATTCATGTGTTACACAAGGAGTCTCCTGAAGGATTCCAAAGAAGAATAACAGATTAATCGTAAATTTCAGATTTCTTCAAGGTCAATAACTTTCAAATTTTCTCTTGATGACTGAATATAGGCCTTGCTTGAGCCTATATTAAGGTCGGCCAGTAAGCGAATTCATAGAGAAAACCTAAGTTTAAAGTAAATTTTTTACCGAGGCGAAAACTAATTGTTTCGCCCAAGTTTTATTATTGTTAACGCGCGATTATCTTCTTAATTAATTTACATGGAATGTTCATGCCAATTCATTGTTGAAAATCGATACTATATTTTTCCATAGTCTACAAATTTGGGAATATAGCAAAAATAAATGTCAAACATTTCACAAAATGGTGTTGTATTTTTTCAGGTTCCCTATATATTGTAAAGCTCTAATTGTATTATTTTTTATTTCACATTTTATATATCCAAAATTTTCCGCCGGGTCGTTTTACAAAAATCAAAAATGTCATATCGAACTTGGCATGTGTATTACGAAACAATGAAATCAGCTGAGTATTGCAGTTACCTTGTATAATTATACCATGGGTTTATTCTCATAGGGTTAACAGGGAGTCGAATTCAAAATCTTCCTTGGATGTCAAATTTTCCTATATATTGTAAAGTTCCCTATATATTGTAAAGCTCTAATTGTATTATTTTTTATTTCACATTTTATATATCCAAAATTTTCCGCTGGGTCGTTTTACAAAAATCAAAAATGTCATATCGAACTTGATATGTGTTACGAAACAATGAAATCAGCTGAGTATTTCAGTTACCTTGTATAATTATACCATGGGTTTATTCTCATAGGGTTAACAGGGAGTAGAATTCAAAATCTTCCTTGGATGTCAAATTTTTTGTGGAAGAAAAAATAAACAAAAAATATTTTTATTCGAAGTAAAATATTCGTTCAAAGTCTTATCAATTCACTTTTTTGGAAAGATATTTGGAATTTATATCCTGGTCTGCATTGTATTTCGCGGTTACGAATGGCGGGTACGATAACTCAAAAACAAATAATCCAATAGGTTCCAAATTTTGGAAGTTTCTCTGTGAGTGTATAGCTATGGTATAAACTAGGATAAAGCCAATCGGCGAATAACTTCCTTATTTTTTACCTTAATTTGTGGTCAGAAATAATCGAATTTCCAAACAAATTTTCAAGGGTCCGTCATTTTTTTAATTTTGAGCGAAATCAATAATCCTACTTCATACGAGAGCCAGACATTTACTTTTTCTAACACCCTTGGAATTTCCGGATTCCGATGTTTTCTTTAACCCTTCGTGGCCCAATGTTGCCCACAGGGAACAAAATGTTTTTGAGCTTATATTTAATACAAATTTAGTAAATATATATTTTTTTCGGAATACATATGTTAAGACCTAATTATGAACCATACAAATCTAAAAAATTCAACATTTTTGGTAAAGTTATGGGCTTTTCAATATAGAGAAGAGGGGGAAATGTGTACAGTACCAATTTGTGTATACATTCCAATTTATTTAAATCGTTTCGTATTCTAATTGTACGAAGTGCACCATCAAAATTATTTTTAATTTTTGTAAAAAAGAAAATAGAGAATAATTTAAAATGATTTTTTTGTTGATATTGCATTTTGTTATATTGATATTTGAATTTTATTTTCCAGAGAGAATGTAAACCTAAGTCTGTTTTTACACGTTTTTGATATAACACGGTTTGAAAATTGAATATTTTTAATTTTTTAGACGATTTTATTCCATTTAGCACGACTTGAAATTTTATGTAGTTCATTTTTTTCCGAACGTTCCCAATTTCCCACCCCTGCCGACCGAGGGGGCGACCTCCCCTTTCGTAGGATTGTGGTGGAATGTGAGAAGGGAATAGAAAACCAGCTACAGAATCTACTCCAACAGCCAGTTTATTATTAAGTTGCACTACTCATTTAGAAATACAATTATATTAGATTTTATAAGTTCAACATTCTTGCTAAAATCTACATTAGAGTACACAGAATTAAAATCAATACAAATTTTACTGAGTGGATCTCCCATAGAATAATTTGTGCGATGAAAATCTACATATAATAGTTGGTAATATCTACTAGATCGAAAAGGAACATTTATTCTAATAGATGAAATTAGGAAATCAGAGGGTATATTACCATTTAATATTTTTAGTACCATCATAGTGTGTTCCACATAATACGTCTACTTTTTAATGTAGGTAACCGAATTAATTTTAACCTGCTAGTGTAAGAAGGCAACACAAAATCACTATTCCAATGTAAACCTCTCAGTGCAAAAAGTAAGAATTGTTTCTGCACTGATTCGATTTTATCGGAATATATTGCATATTGAGGATGCCATACAACAGAACCATATTCTAATATAGGTCTAATAAGAGACGTGTATAGTTGTTTTGTTATATAAGGATCCGAGAATTCTTTGGCCCACCGTTTTATAGAACTTAATACACCATATGCTTTAATTACCATAGAAATAACATGATTGTTAAAGATAAACTTTGGATCCATTAAAATACCAAGATCCTCGAATGTTTCAACAGTTGATAAAACCGAACCGTTAATATCGTATTGCCTCATCAATGAAGAATTTCTAGAAAAACACATATGTTTACATTTGTTCAAATTTAAATCCATACAATTTAATCTGCACCACTGAAAAAGGTTATTTAAATCATTTTGGAGTAAATTGGCTTGTTTCTCAGAATTATGGGCCATGAATAACTTGACATCATCTGCATACATTAACAATTTAGAATTTACTACAGAAGTTGGCAAATCATTTATAAACAATAGAAAAAGAACTGGCCCGAGGTGACTTCCTTGTGGAACACCTGAAGGTACGTTAATCGATTTTGAGAGACATCCTTCAAACAAAACTAGCTGTGATCTATTTTGTAAGAAAGATGATATCCATTTGACTAAGTTTATACTGAAACCCATATCTAATTTATATAATAAGAGTTCATGGTTAACCCTATCAAAAGCTTTACTAAAATCTGTATAAACGGTATCAGTTTGATTTCGCTGAACAAATTCCTTTATTACAATTGAAGTAAACTCTATAAGATTTTTTATAGTTGAAAGACCACTACGAAAGCCATGTTGATATGGACTTAAAATGGATTTAATTTTGTGAGAATAACAGCAGTAATTAATTTTTCAAACAATTTTGGGATATCACTTAATTTTGCAATTCCTCTGTAGTTTGAGACGTTTGATAGACTACCAGACTTGTGCAACGGTACTATAAAAGATTTCTCCCATATAGAGTAACTTCGGGTAATGTGGACCACCATTTTTATACCCTTCACCACACTGTGGTACAGGGTATTATGTCTTTGTGCATATGTTTGTAACAGGCAAAAGGAAACGAGATAGACACATGGTTCCTTTTGAGAATATGCATAGAATCACTTTTTAAGTCGATTTATGCATGTCCGTCCGTCTGTCTGTCCACGTATTTTTGTGAACAAAGTACAGGTCGCATTTATGATCCGATTTGAATGAAATTTGGCATAGGTCACTTATTCGGCCCAAGGACGAACCCTATTGAAATTGGGAAAAATCGGTTCAGATTTAGATATAGCTCCCATATATATATATATATATTTAACCGATTTAATGTAAACGGTCCCTATATATCCTTCTATTTGCACGAAATTTGGTACAGCCTAATCATTTAGGTCTAGAATGATGCCTGCCAAATTTCGTGAAAATCGGCCCAGATTTAGATATAGCTCCCATATATAGTTTCGTCCGATTTCATGTAAATGGTGCCCCAAAGTGCCTATATATCCTTCGATTTGCACAAAATTTGGCATAACGTACTGAATTAAGCCTAGAGTGATGTCTGCCAAGTTTCAAGAAAATCGGTCCAGATTTAGATATAGCTCCCATATATAGTTTCGTCCGATTTCATGTAAATGGTGCCCCAAAGTCCCTATATATCTTTCGATTTGCACGAAATTTGGCATAACGTACTGAATTGAGCCTAGAATGATGCCTGCCAAGTTTCGTGAAAATCGGTCCAGATTTATATATAGCTCCCATATATAGTTTCGTCCGATTTCATGTAAATGGTGCACCAAAGTCCCTATATATCTTTCGATTTGCACGAAATTTGGCATAACGTACTGAATTAAGCCTAGAGTGATGTCTGCCAAGTTTCAAGAAAATCGGTCCAGATTTAGATATAGCTCCCATATATAGTTTTGACCGATTTCATGTAAATGGTGCCCCAAAGTCCCTATATATCATTCGATTTGCACGAAATTTGGCATAACGTACTGAATTGAGCCTAGAATGATGCCTGCCAAGTTTCGTGAAAATCGGTCCAGATTTAGATATGTATAGCTTCCATATATAGTTTCGTCCGATTTCATGTAAATGGTGCCCCAAAGTCCCTATATATCCTTCGATTTGCACGAAATTTGGCATAACGTACTG